CTAGGGGTCTCTCCAATTGGGGTTGTGGAGGCTTCCCAACCATATGGTTTGGGTGGTTTCGGTCTCCATGTTGGGATCATTTCCCTTTTTCTTGTTGATGTTGATCCACGACTAAAGAGTAAGGGGAGGAGATGTTGGTACACCCGGGACCCATTCACACTACACAGATAAAGTGCTATGATTGCCCTTTAACTGCTTTGGCAACATCAGTGGTTCCAAAATTTGGGTCTTCCAGGTATTTTAGACTTCAACTCACAGAAGACCCTGTTAGCTTAGTGATCAATCAGAAATTCTGGGAGATGAAGTCCAAAACATCTGGAGGACCAAAGTTTGGGAACCTATATGTTCCTGTGGCTTGTAGTCTGGTGAGGCACTATAGCTCTCTGGCTGAGAATTCTAAGTACTCCTCCCTAAACTTTAAATCCCAGGAGGGAGAAGCCATAATCACTGAATCATAAAATGGGAAGATACACCAAGGGATATCCAATATAACCTGCCGTAGGCATAAGTTAAAACACTCCCAAGAGATGGCCATCTAATCTCTGTGGGAAGACCTCCAAAGAAGAAGAGTCCACCAGCCCTTGAGGAAGTCAATTCCAGTGCTAAACAGCTCAAGATGTTTTTCCAAATGTGTCGATGGAATTGCTTTTCATTTCCTCTTATAAATTGAATCCTTTGGTTTGTGTCGTAGTCTCTGGAGCAGCAGAAAACAAGATTGCACCATCTTCAACATGGCAGCCCTTCAGGTATTTAAAGACAGCAATCTGATCATCTGTCAGTCTTCACTTCTTCAGGTTAAACAAGAATGAAGTACATCTGGGCCCTCAAGAAGGAGTAGGATGGAAAGGGCAACTATAAAACTCTTCAGTTGATACCTAGTCCATGGTTGATGTGACAGTCCATCCAACTCTGCTTCCTGAAATCTGTTGGACAGCTCCCTTGTTTTGCAGAAAAATCTCCCTGATGTGACCTATTGGACATTTCCTCATCCTGGTTATTAAGAGAAGAAGACTCTAACCTGCAAAAAAGTGATAGGAGGAAGCAAGAGCTGTATATTGGGAACTGCGTCTCTCTGTAAGGAAGGTGGCTGAAGCCAGTGTTTTGAAGAGCGCTCTCTTTTATTCTTTTGAAATGCATTACACCTACAGATTAAGGAAGGACAAGACAGAAGTTTGACAGCGGCGAGTTAAAAGAAAGGATTAGAGTTGGTGCGAGTGACTTTAAGCTGCGACACTCTTTGAGGTCAATTCAAGGATGCCGGTTCTTCTGTCTTTGGAAATCTGAGCAATTTGAAAATGCACCCTGCAAAGGTTGACGTTTTCTTAATCAGACCTTATGTATGTGAGTTTAGGGAATAGTGGTTGGGATTGTCAAAGAAACTCTCCTTCGAATCCCTGCTTTTTTGAATGGTGTAAAATAATATCTTGGCCAACGTCATCTGTCAGCCACATCTACCTTGCAGGGTTATTGTGAGAAGGAATGGGGGAGTCAGAGATACACCCTTCAACCTGGAACAGATTCACTACCCCACTGCCATGAAAGCCACCAGCTGCCTCGGTTTATCGATGTTCACATCCTTGGGAATTTTATACCATGCAAACTTCTTCCTTTTCCTAATTCTATGTGTTCAAGTGTCCTGTTACTCATTCTCTGGACTTTCTTGGCCTTTGCATCTTTAGCTTTGCTTTCCAGAACCCTCCTAAGCGATTAGAAGCCATTGTGGGTTAACCAACCAAGAAATTTAAACATAAAGGTGGCTGAAGTCTCTCCTTGAAGTCCATTAAATACATATTTCTCTTTTATTGCCTTGCTATTTGCAGCTTTGTATTCTTTTTTTTAAAAAAAGAATACAATGAGCCATATCCTTTGGCGAGTATAAAATATCCTCATGATGCAAATTCCAGTTGAACATCGGATCCTGCGTTTTATGATCTTTCCTTTTTTGGGGGGCAATAATTGCATCCTCAAACCTGAAACCGAAGATAGAGACATGCTAAACTAACTTAATGCTGACCTCCTAAGTACCGGAGGAAGGATTCGGAATACCCTGGGGTGGAACATCATGCTATGATTGCTTTTAAGTTTGTCAAATGATGTGCCCATGGTAGGTAAACTCTCCGCAAAGGGAGTTGCCCACGCTAGCAATTTAACCTGCCCAGACTCTTTCCAGCACGCCAAGATATAAATCAATGTCTAAGAGCAATTTGGACAGAAAATGCTCATATCATACATAGAACAGGCTCTTAAGAGTACATGGAAGGAAGGAAGGAGCCGACAAAATGCAAACCTGGCTTGTCAAGTAGTTTTAGAAGGTTGAAGAAGGACTCATGATGGACTTTGGACCTGGGGACATTGC